TGACCGATGTTCGTCCATCTTCACGCGCATCATCCTCTGGGCATTGTAGCCCGCATGTTTTTTTGTAACCTGGTGCCGGGCAGAGTTTGCTCATAATTAACATTACATTTGAAGTTCTGATCAAAGAGACACTGCGAGCATCTACTTCGTCGTCAAACATCCTTGGCTCCGCAGTGTATTTCAAAACAAACTGATGCATCATCTATTGTCTAATACTACTCAATCAACGAAATGAGAGCACTGCCTCTGTAACAAGCAAAATCATTCCTTGTGATTGTCTCTTTGATGGATATTCCCACCTCCTGCGGTGGAAATTTCATGTTATTTTGAATTAAAATAATTACCCGTTTGGTCATCAACGCCATCTTGCATAGTATTCATGCTATTTGGGATAACTTTGAAGCAGACTTCGACCATGATGACGACCCTGACGTTACTATTGTTATTTGGATTAATTCAAGCATCTTATGGCAAGTATTTACGAAAAATTGGCTCATACGCGATTCATTTTCGGATTTGAAACTTAATTTTCCATTGTAAAGAACGCACATTTAAGAAATATAAGGCCTAAAAAAGAGATGTGTTTTGCCCTTTGCGACCAACCCCAAAATTTTGAAATCTACGGTCGGCTTTTTTAAAAGATTATTTTAAACCGTTTTTTAGAAAAAAAAAAAAATGTATTAAAGTATTCAAAACTGAGAAATATCAGCCCATTAAAGAGAGAGTAAAAAAAAAAAGAAAAAGATTTCCGACCGACCGACCTATGGTTTGGCACCTAAAGGGCAATAAAACATCTTTCTTTCATTTTAGGCCTGAAAGCCATTTTTTTCCTCCAAATTGTTGTTTTCGTCGTATACCTATTCTCATCTATATAGCTTATTTACTTGGGACCGTTTGCATTACCCATTATCTATAATGTGAGATTTCGTGAACTTATCATCACCCCTTTCCTATTGTCCCTATTCTTTTAATCACATTATTCATTCGTGACAATACCAGTAAATACTGCATTTCAAAAATACTAAACTATTTAGAGATGTGTTCTATGCTATCGCAACCAGTTTCCCATGCTATTATTATGGTAATGCTATACATCTAATGTCTTTTGTTGGAAATGTGTTGATTGGGAGGGGGGGGGGTAGTAAGAGATGAGTGAATTTATTAGTTAATAATTATAAGTCCCGTTTTGACAGCTCTACATTGGTGGCCAATGGAATATACTTGTTTTCCATTGTTTGCATTGTACTGCCCCAAAGTACAACTCGACTTTGATCACTTTCGTTACAGTAAGACAACTCAGATCTTCTAACTCTTCTCTTCTTGTAGTTCCGAAACAACAAAATCGACCTTTTGCGCATGCTAGATCAGTTTTATGGAGATATTTACCGAAGCTTCTTGAGGAAATAACAACCGTAAACTCATTCAAGTCTTCTCTTAAAACTCACTTGTTCAAAATCGTTTTTGATTAATTCAATATATCCACATTTCATCTTTGCCATTCATTTATATTTCCTTAGTTTATATGTGTGTCAACTTATTTCTTTGATCTACTCTTTATTGTTCATGTCCTCTGTATTGTAATTTAGGTCAAATTACAGAGTACATTTTTCATGTATACTGTTAGTGCTTGAGTATATTATGGAAAATGGATATTATTAATATAAATTCATATGTCTCCTGTTTCATTTCTTATAAGTGAGCGTTAAAGCATTTTTTTTGTGTATGTATCCAAATTGTTTAATTCATTAATACTTCTTGCCTTATTAGTTCTAGAATACTAAGAAAAAGGAAATCAATTTTTTTTGTCCATTCATAGTTTTTTCTGTAGTTGATGTTTAACATTTTTGTTTATATATACAGCGTTCCTATATCCTGGAATGTATAAAATGTGGTATAAAACAATTCTCATCATCGTTATTACTGCCGGGTTTCTGATATTTTAAAGCTTTTATTTCCATCTGAATGAAATATATTAGAAAAAATACTGAACGGGTGAATAGAATATTGAAAGAGTCTGATATTATGTCACATGTTGTTTAATATCAATACAGAAATCGGAATCCAACCTTAATAGCAAACTTTTCTTTAAAACAGGCAGAACAATCAAAGTAGCAGACTGCTGAAAGTTTGAAAAAAATCGGACAGAATATGAAAACTTATGATTAAAAATAACACATTTGCAATCACTATAGGTATAGACTTTTCAAATTGGCTGAATCGGTCATATCGCTGTGATGTAGTGGCGGACAACTTCCCCATTCGTTTCACCACACACAATATCTAAGATATCAAATTAAAAAAAATGTATGACTCGAGATGGTCTTTTTTTTAAGAGGACCTGTAAGAATATTTTCTCCATAACAATAGTGTCTCAAGGGTGAAGGCACTAGGGAGAAAACAGAAATTAGTGATATTTGTGTACACGACAAATGGGATATAAGCCTCACTACGTTGCAATCCACTGACAATATTGTAAATTTAAGATTCGCATAGCGGAAGC